GAAGTGAATGTAGTCCCCAGTTCGCACTGGACCAATACGTAGGGAGGCTAAAACCATGTTCTCTAACATGAGGATCAGAAGAACTCGGGTGTTATCTAATTGCTGTAGAAACCGGTACAGTGGAGTGTAGTTCTGAGATGGGAGTTATGATTAGTTGGTAATTAGGAGCCGAGAGCAATAGATCCTGAACAGCTGCAGTTCAGAGTACCTGCCTGTCTGTAGCCTTGAGCCGTCCTTGCAAGTTTAAAACATACCACCCGAACTTGTACCTAGGTAGCTGCAGAGAATTCTAACTTTTTTTTTCCTTTGTTTTAAACCTGTTTGAGAGACAGTCACCTCTCATGCAGAGAGCTGAGGCAATTTAAGACTTTCTTTTAAGCTTAAAGGGGCCCCTGGTAGTTCTCATCATAACTGAAGTGTAGATGATAGAGGAGGATTAGCTGAAATTTATTTTTGTTAGAGCAGGAAGAAGATTCCTGTGGCACCCTACATCCCAAATTTTGCAGACAGGGTAGCTTGCTTAGCTTTAGCTGCGTTATTCTCACCACTCTGAGCAAGTAGCATCATCTTGCTTCCTCATATTTTGTTTTGGTATGAGTTGTTATAACTTTAATTTCTCTCAAAAGCAGCCTCAATTTATTAAAGTTCTGACTGTGGCCTTTGCTATATGATTTTCACATTTTTTTATCTTCTAGCTTAGGTAATTTAGCATATACATTCGGAGAAGAACTGTCAAAAGAGAGAATTACCTTAAGCACACTTTTCCTGCCTGATCTGAGACCAGCAGAGGGAACTTTATGGAAATGTCACTCAGGCTTTTGTATAGAGTGACAGTGAGGTTACTATAAGAACTTTAACAGAACAAACAGCTCATTTAGCATTTCTTGAAAAAAAACAAAAAAACAAACCTAAAACAAAGACTTTAAGCATAGTCTAGGAGTCTGAGATCTTATTCCCTTTCAAAAAACAAAATGAACTCTTAAAATTGTGTGACTAAATCATAATGTGATATAATAATTTTCCTTTATTTTTTTTTAAATAATGGAAATAATTGTTGCAATTGTTTTAATAGCAGAAAAGCTATTAAAAATGAAACTATCTTTTTGAAATACAGGTTATAAATCGTTCAACAACAGAGCTACCTCTTACAGTGTCATATGACAAAATATCGCTTGGAAAACTCCGATTTTGGATTCACATGCAAGATGCTGTGTACTCCCTGCAACAATTTGGTATGTTTTTTATCTTTAATGACTTTAGGCCAAAAAAAAAAAGTGGCAACCCACCCTCAATTTTTTTTCTGTGAGTACATAGGTGACATTTAGCTCCCTCCATTTTCTGTTTAGCTGGTGAAAAGGTTTAATGCTACAAATCTTCCTACATTGTTTTTACCTTAAGGTAAAGATGGAAATCAAATGTTGACATGTGGTAGAAAGCAACAGTACAGAGGTGAATTAACTGTTTTTTAAGCAATAATTTAAAATTTTATTTGGATAGTTCTATTGTAAAAGTATAAGAGGCCAAAATAGAGGAGAGAATTTTCACCGTGGTTTTCCCCCTATCGTCCTGGAACAGAAAAGCTGGATTGGTGTAACCTAAGCTTTGATATAAGCTATATACAGCTGGTCACTGTAGGCATATACCTATGGTGAAATACAGGCAGGCATGGCAAAGACTTTGTGCTCAAGCTGAGCATGAGGAAGGAATCTGGGTTCCCATCATAATGCTTCTGACGCTTCAGAACTGGCTGGCCTCTCACTTTGACTCAGTGACAAATTTACAAGGTAATTCAGATAAACTTGAGACTTTACATGCATGAAAATATTAAATTCTGTGTTTTGCTTAAATGTAATGAAGTCTTTGCACACTTTCACTCTGAAGTTTGTGTGCTGTGTTGGTGATGGTATAGCCAACCTTTTGCTGTCTTTAAATATCCTTTCCACTGATGCATACCTCTTAAAAATCCACATCTTATTTTCAGGGTTATCTTTGCTGACTTAGTTTCCTCTCTAGACTACAGTTGGCTTCTTTTTGCTAAAGTAAGGACCTACATCGTAGTTGAACTGGTGTTGATGAGCATAAATATAGGATTATTTCTAATCGTCTCTTTTTAAGCACTGCAGACAGCAGTTTGAACTTTTTTTCAGGCCAGGAGATCTTAAAAGCTCCTATGCAGTATTATTTTAATGATTCTTAAATCCTTCCTAGTTTATCTTTTTTTTTTTTTAATTTAATGCTGATAGATACAGTATTCTACTAGTTTCCCGAGAGATGTATGCAGCTTCCATAGTACTCAGTGGTGTTCTTTGTTCACCAAAATTTAGTTATTCTATTAAGAGGAAGAGGGGTTGGTTATTCACTGTCATCTAATATTTTATGATGAACAACTTAATCATGAAGGCATTGATTCCTCTAAAAAAATTTTTTTAAATCTGCTCTGGTTCAGCACTAGTTTGAGAGTGTAGTATTGTAAGACACAGCACTTGTGTGCAGTGTAACTTAACTGAGAGTCTAGACTCTCTCCATTTCTTTTGCAGCTTTTGCTTTTCTCGTGTTTTGTTGGGGGAGGGGAGGCAGATAAGGAATAAGGTCATCCTAAGTAGAATACAGCTGCTTCTCTGTATCTCTGGTTAATGTAGATCGAAGCTACAAGGATGTCTGTTTAAAATAACTGACTTGAAAGAGTCAAGTAACTGCTTATTCAGAGTTTGTGTGGGGTGTTTGGCCACCATGGTTTTTCCATGCATTTCTGTGAACATCCTCAGAGTGGCATAATTGAAATTTTCATGTTTCAAGTCTTGGCTGTCTTGTGATAGACATGTATATCTAGGCCTATCATCCTAGGAGTTCCTCTTCTGCCTTGAAGAAAAGCTTACCTAAGATACTGCCTGTTCTCTCTAAGTATGCAGATAGTGAAATGTAAGGTTTAAATTTTTCCTTTTTGAATAATTTATGAAAAGGTCACCTTGGATTAGTAGCAAAACTCCAGAATCACTTGAAAACAGGTAAGTTCGCATTCTTCTAGCTGCAGTGCAGGACAGCCAATATGACAAAGTAAATTGGTACTGAACTCACCAGTGTCATAACTGGCACTGTTGCCGTAACTGCAGCATTGTGTATTTTCTGAGAGTGGTAGACTTCAGTCACAGTGGCTGGAACTTTCTGCTTCATGAAGAAAACATCTTAACACTGGCTGAAGGAGTTCAGAGGGATGCTCTGTCTTCTGGAAAATGCACTCCTTGATGCTGGCAACCATATTTATCATGGACAGGCTCTTTTTTTTTAATTAATGGTTGTCCAGTATATAACAAGATAGTAACACTCTTCCTTTCAGAGATTTGATAAGACAGTAGAGAATATGTATTCAGCGCACAGTTTCTGCTTTGTGGAAGGTGCTCTGCCTTTTTGCATTTATTGAAGAGAAACTTCCAAGTTAATTCTGCAAGAACTGTCAAAATAGCTGATGCCTAATCCATGATCTGGGGTCTATACTGGTGCATATATATGACCTTGTTTCTCACTGACCTTTGTTTTCCTCTACAGTGTAGTCCTTTTCTTATTTTTCAGTTTTTAATGTGAAGCTCACTTTTCTTACTTATCAAATACAAGTTCAGAGGCCAAGGTGAAAAATCCTTTTTCTTCCCACTGAGGCCAGAATGACTTCCTGTGTCTTGCCATTCGTGTCTCTGATGTTTCAGCTTAGGTTGTAGTTACACAAGGTGTTAAAGGCACTTTGTAACTGATGGGTTTTGTTTAAGGCAAGCCAAATAACTTGCCAAAATACGGGTAGACTTGGGTTTTACCAGTAAAGCTGCCATAATGTTTTGGATTTATGATTTCTTAACAAAATATATGCAGGTGACTCTAGCATAACGGCAATTAACTGTCTAGTACTTCTGACATAGTTACTTGTTCTTTCTCTTAGGGTTTTCAGAAAAGGATGCAGATGAAGTAAAAGGAATTTTTGTTGATACTAACCTGTACTTCCTGGCTTTGACGTTCTTCGTAGCAGCATTCCATGTAAGTGGAGAAACTTTGGGGTTTTTTAGGAATTACAGTATATGCAATAAAAAAGGAAGGGGGGCTGAATTTCAAGTCTTTGATTTATTAAGTATTGTTCTTTGACATAATGATTTCAGTAGAGCAATGGAAGTGTTTTCTGGTACAGGTCAGCTGTATTTCCAATACAGAGTTAATATAAAAATCTCAAAGACAGGAATTTGAGATAACTAGATAGTAACTAACATTCTTGACTGAAATATAAAACATTTTACTTAATTATAACTTTTTTTTAGCCATAGTTGAACCAAAGCCCCTAGAATTAATATGTCCATCAATTTTGTTGAGTTGTCACAAGGTTTACTGCTGCAGTGGCATAGCTGGGGCACCAGTAGTAGGGTTTGAGTCTCTGACTTGTAATCCCTCAGAAATTTAGATCGGATGAACTCAAAAAAATGATTGCTGTAAAGTACAGAGCCTGTGGCTGTAGCCATGGTTATTTGTTGTTGCTGTGTCTTTTCTCTTAGCATTTTGTGTGTCTTGGTTTAAATAAGAATCTTTGTTTTAATGAACAATTTTTTTTAGACTTCACTGTTCTTCTGACAACACTTTTGTCATCTAGAATTGCAATCAATACCATTCCTGTGTTCTGGGAGAGATAAGAACTTGCTGGGCATGTTATGTTTCTTTATACTTACATTACATAAAATTAATTTGATTGGAAAGCCTTAGACTTCCCACCCATATTAATTTATTTTTTCCATTCTTTTTATCACGTTGTAAGATATCTGTAGACTGGAACTAGCTCTTCTGATGCTTTTTTTCTTTTATGCATTATTTGCCCAAATTAACAAAAATATACTTTTTCATTAAAATTCTCTGACCCAAGAATTTCTTGAATCTGTGCTGTTCTTTTTAAGACAGTGAATGCTTAAAGGAAATACTGAAAAATAAACTGAATGAAAATGCTGAAAAAAATACTCAGTACAAATAAATTTAATGCTAAAATGTCCCTGAAGTTTAGGTCAAACTCTTAGTGATGATCTAGAGAGGAAGCATGACTTGCTATATTGTAGGATTTTTTTTAAAGCTTTGGTACTATCCAAGCCTAAATTGACTATCAATCCAATACAAAGCACTTCAAATCTAATTTAGTGTGGCTTTTCCTGTTCTGTCAAGGAGGTTAGCAATTCCTCAGAGTCCTCATTCTTCATCCTCTATCATGTGTTACCCTGTTTTGGGTCACTAACTTTCTTCACTGTACACTGCATTGGGCAGTGTTGTAGTAGTAGCAGTATTTGGAATTCATCCTGTAATTTTGCACTGTTTTTAGAGCTTGGGCTTTTAAAACAGTTTTTCTTTTTAGCTTTTATTTGAAATATTTAATTTTTATTTCAGCAGCTTCTAAAACAGGTTTTTCTGGAATTCCATCTTAAATGCTTTTTTAACAGTTCAGCTGACAGTCTCTAATTAGTGCACGTTTCAAGCAAATGAGGATGTTTCTTGCTATTTGCAGCTTCTCTTTGATTTCCTTGCATTCAAAAATGACATCAGTTTTTGGAAGAAAAAAAGGAGCATGATTGGAATGTCTACAAAAGCAGGTATGGACTAGAATGTGGAGTGTTGTGCATGGGCTGTGTAATATATATTGTGTTTTTAGTTGTACTCTAAGTTGACACTTTGTAGATTCACCCACCAAGATGACTAAATGAGATGTTTTTATGTATGAAAAGATGGCAGCTGACAGGCTGGTTCTAAGTTTGTTAGTGTTGTGCTCAAGTATCACTTGCTTTTAAGTGCTCGTGTTGCTTCCAAGGTTTGACTGTCTTGCAGTTGAGAATTAGCTTATTATTAAGTCAGTTATCATATTTCCATTGCTGAAGGAAGAGAAAAATCCTGTGGATGGAGAGAATGTGCTCTCATGGGTAATGCTGTCCTGCGAGTCCCATGTATCCCTTGTAGATAACTACAGGTTCCAAAATATTTGGAGGGGGAAGCGCTGTAATGTGATGCTGATGTTTGATTTGGGCTTTGATGTAAACAAGAGCAGTAGAAGCTCCTGGGACAGCAGGGAAGAGCATGAGAGGGTTGAGTTGACTTGGATGTAGGAAAGATAAGAGAAACATAGTGGTCTGGTATCTTGTCAAGCCTTCCTAGAGGCAGACGAGGGTAGTAGCCAGCCCTGGACGCTTAAGTTTCACACACTACTCCCCAGCCTTGTTTTTCTAATAGATTTTTCCATTCTGATTGTAAACCAGAATGATAAACCTGGAGTCACTTGACCTTCAGCTTCGTCAAGACAAGAATCATGAACATAGTTCATATTAGTACTGATACATTATTGAATTGCTGCAGTACAGAAGTCTTCCTTAGATACTCTTATTTCCTTTTATCTTTTGTGATAAGGATTTAATAAAATGTTTTTGTTCCTTATTTGCCTGAAGGTATATAGATCACTGACTGTTTCTAGGACTACTTGATATATCAAAATGTATATAGGAGAAGTTCATGCTTAAACTACATAAGGCAATTAAAGTAAATAGGCCAGCAGTCTTCTGTCATTTCAGCTCTTCATTTAAATATTACTAAGCCTTTCATTTTTTTTTTGTCTAGTGCTTTGGCGGTGCTTCAGTACTGTGGTAATATTTCTTTTCCTTTTGGATGAACAAACAAGTTTATTAGTACTGATCCCAGCAGGCATTGGTGCAGTGATTGAGGTGAGTTCTTAAAGTTCTAGAACCAAATACCTGTATTTGCAGCAGCATCCATAGTTTACTGTAGAAAAAGAATGCTAAACTAGTTACTGGAAAAGTAGTGCTGTAGGATGCTGTCTTAGCAGCATTGTTTACTTGGCTTTTAGTGGTACAGGAGATTGTGTCCCTTTATCAAATAAGTAAACTGGAAGTATCAGTTTTTTCTGGGATGAGCCAGCTGGTGTTGTGGAAACCAAACATAGAGCTATGCTGAGCTTCCTTCCTGTCACATCACCTGATAGGCATCACTCCTGACCAGGCATGTATAACCACGTCAACAAGCCTTCACAGAAACATTTATCAAGGAGCAGGCTGTGTGCCATCAGACAGTGCTGCAGGTCTGCACCTTTCTCCTTGGCCATGACTGAGGTGCTTGGGGAAGGAGGGAAAGGAGGAGACTGCTGGCTGTGTTCATTATTGCAGCAAACCGTGTCCAGCCAGTGGGTTGCAGGTACTGCTTAGAAGCCTGCTTTATGTGTAGTAAAGCACAAAAGTAATGGAAAGGGGAGAGCTCTCTGTCTAGCATTGCTTTTAGATCTATGTACTTCTCATTATTTAAAAATAAGTTCAGGACTTTCACATGGAGGTTTTGACTACACATCTGTTACAGTTGCAGATAATCCCTGTGGAAACACAACAGTTGGGAATTTTTAGTGAGTGATTAAATTGTTGAATGCAAAGTCACAAAGCAATCCTTAAATTTCAGCTTATTGTATAAACAGATTAAGCTCTTGTGAAAGCTATGAACAGTGGTGTCCTAAATACTACTATTGCATTGAGGGCAACATTATTTTTCAGTGAGTTGAGATTTTTTTAAGTCTGATGTATTTCTGTGTGTTAAGTTTTCTGTATCAGATTTGCTGGTGGTTTTGTTGCTATAAATAGAAATTTAGTCTTACATTTCAAACTTTCTTTAGCTATCTGAAATTTTAACAAAGCTTCAGGGATAAAAATATATGCCAATAACTATGCTACTTGTTTTGTAGGATATCTTTTATTTTGAACCTTGAAATCTAAATAGCTAATTTTTAAAAAATCCTTGAATCTAAAAATTTCAGAAATTCAGAAGTGCCAACTGATTTAAAAATGAATCAGGTCAAGAAGAGTGATGCTTTTGTTTGTTTCTAGTGGAAAAGAAGAAATAGTCCTTGTCTCTAAATCTTTTTTTTTTTCAAAAGTTTTAGTGGAAACCAGATCAGGCGTGTATGGTGGGAGGGCAACAGGAATGATCAGCTGTGCTGCAGGACTTAAGTTCAAATAAAACTGTTAACATTTTGCATTTCTCTTTTATAAAGAAGATGGATCTCTTGGTTAGCAATACCTAAGAACAGACATTTCCAGATCTCATTTGTTAGTTGTGCCTGTCTGAGGTTCTTCTTGGAGCTGCCCAAAGATCTGTTAAATAGAGCTCTCCAAGATCTGTCGTGCCTGTGACATTTTGGCTCCTGTCGTCTCTCTCACGCGCCTTGTTTTCCAGTCTGTTGCTTTTGGATTGCAGGCTAGGGAACTGGGTTGAAAGGATTCTGTAGGAACACTGTGTGGTGCACTTACATGGAAGGGAGACAGATCTTCTGTAGGTTTTGTTCAAGTAACATACCTCTCCTCTCAAGTGATGGTGAGATAGCATGGTTGTCTCAAGGTGAGAATGAACATATGGGCTATACATCTCTCAGAAATTTGTCTCCAGGGAGGGGGCTTCCACAGCTTCTCTGGGCAACCTGTTCCATTGTCTGACCACCCTCACAGTGAAGAATTTCTTCCTAAACCTACCCTCTTCTAGTTTAAACCATTTCCCCTTGTTCTTTCACTTCCTGCCTTCGTAAAAAGTCCCTCCCCAGCTTTCTTGTAGGCCCCTTCAGATACTGGAAGGCAACTATAAGGTCTCCCTGGAGCCTTCTCTTTTCCAGGCTGAACAGTCACAACTCTTTCAGCCTGTCCTCGTAGGCGAGGTGCTCCAGCCCTGGGATCATCCTCATGGCCCTCTTCTGGACTCATTCTAACAGGTCCATGTCTTTCTTGTGTTGGGGGCTCCAGAACTGGACACAGTACTGCAGGTGGGGCCTTATGAGAGCGGAGTAGACGGGGAGAATCATCTCCCTCAACCTGCTTGCCCACTTAATCACTGTTAGTTCTGAGGCACGTTCATCTTGCAGACCCCAGCTGACCTTGAAGACACGTAAAAACTTGCTTGGCAGGTGGTTATTGGAGAGTTCCCTAAATGCCTGAGCTGGGGTACATGCTGGTGCTGAGACCAGCTAACCCCCCCCAAGCGCTGCAATCCGGATATCCTGGAAGGACTACATTATTTCACTTAAAGTACGTGATCTGATACGGAGACTTAATAGTGCACGCTCCCAAAGCTGTACTTGTCTGGTGACACAGCATTTGGTTTGTAGAGAGACACAGGCAGGCAGTGTGCTGCAATCAGGCTGTTGCTGCTTTATGCAGTGGGTGTTTAAAATGGCTATTCTGGGGTCTTGATTCTCAGTATCTGAATCCTGCATAAAACTTTCCTTTGGATAATTTTTTGTGCACATTTTGTTTTTGCTCATCACAGCTCTGGAAAGTGAAGAAAGCGTTGAAAATGACAATCAAGTGGCAAGGCTTGAGACCCAGAATTCAGGTACAGCAGACATTGGGCTGTTAATGATTACATTCTCAAGCCTGCCATCTGTTTCCAGGTTACTTGTGCAACTTGTCTTTCAGAGAAATTAAGATTAAAAAAAACCTATAAAAGTTTCCTATGTATGTCTTCTCTTTATGGATGGCTTAATCCAAAAGTTGGATGAGGATTTTCAAACTTAAAAATTTGATCAATTCTGTTGAAGCAGCAGCTATTTGTATATATTTGTGGTGCAAGAAACCAGAACTCCTCTGTCAGTCCTGATAAATCTTAATGGGTGCCTGTGCTCCTGCCACTGTGTTGGAAAGGCACTTTTAACTGGCATCATGATTTGCAGTAAGAAACTTAATTTTTCTGAAGCTGTAGATATAACTTCTCCATTGTGAAACTAACAGAAGATGTGACATGATTTGGGGACAGGACAGTCTTTGACAAATCCTCTGAGTAAAAATTTAAGTCCTGAGACTGTGCAGGACATGCAGCGGCAGCAGGGATTGCAATTAAGCCAGGTTGTCTTCCCATTTTTTAAATTACCTGACTGTAGTCTTTTTCACCTTTATATGTATTGCAGTTTGGTACATACAGTGACTCTGAAAAGAAAACTGAGGAATATGATACCCAGGTAAGAGGGGATCCTGTAACTTATGATCTATAAAGCCTATACATGTGGCCTGCTGATTGACTCGTTTCACTCTTTTTATTGCTTCAAATGTATTTTCCATTTTCTCACAGTTGTCAAGCAGATCATCATCATTTAGATGACCAGATAGTGAAGATTGACTCTAATAATTTATGAAAAACAGTGAAATAGTTGTTTTGTAGCTGAATCTTGTTGAAACATTTCTCTGAGAAGGAGATTGCAAGTGACTTATCTGAAGAGAAATATCTTAAAGGGTCTTCATTCACAAATTTGAAAATTGGTATTTGTGCTTGTTATGTATACTGGAGGAATGTTCATGTACTTCTTGATTTCTGAAAGGAGTTGAAATCAGGAAGTTAAGCAGAGAGCTATTCTTAGGCTCTGATATTCATGTTGCTGCTTGTTGCTTATGCTCTAAGTGGTGGTCTGAACTGAGCATTGGAATTTTCACTGCCTTCTCTAGAACTGTAAGCATACAGGAAATAATAGTGGACATGTGGGAACAGGAAAATATTTTCAGGAAAAAAAATTATGTGGCTGTCTTCTAGTAAATGCCCTGAACAATCTGCTCTATATAAAATGTGAACTAACCTTATTTTCGTTGTCTATTAGGCTATGAAATACTTGTCATATTTGCTCTATCCACTGTGTATTGGAGGTGCAGGTTACTCCTTGCTGAATGTCAAATACAAAAGGTACTGGAAATCTATAAATGATCTTATACAGAATTTAAACATTCCTCATTTTTTCTATATTAATTAATTGGGAGATGATGAGTTATGGAAATCAGTTATTTTAGTTTGCTTGATTCATGAGCCAGGAACTGGAAACTTCCTTGCTCTATAGGATCTAAAGCTGTTTTTTAACATCCTGTAAGTTACAGGCTGCTGTATTTTGCACGTAACCTGATATTACTGTAGTATAGAATTCAATAGCTTGCATACACGAGTAAGCTGTCAATCAGAAGAGGAGGAAGAAAGCTGCCACTGATGTTCAGAGAACTGATAAGGTGACAGAAGAGATGAGCAGAATTCAGTGATTGAACCTGTCCAGTAACAGAGAGAAGCAAAAACTGACCCAAAAGTATTTGCTCTGACCAAGAGGTTCCTCTGTTCCCAAATGTGATAGCTGGGATGGCAAACAAGCAAAAGCCTTTTCAAGAAAGGATCGTGTTTTCCTTCACAGCCATGGACTTACTGCAACATACTGATACTTCAGCAAGAGCTGAAGACTCAATATTTCATGAAAAGGTGAAACTTGTCCACTTTCACTGAAAATAATACAGCTCGTTCATTTTGTACTGGAGACGTGCAAGCAACTAGACCTTTTTTTTTTTTTTTTAAGTAGTCCTTAGGCCCAGAAGGGATGGGAGAGCAAACAGTAGCTTAAAATACTACCAGAAAGAACTGCTGTTGCTGCATACATGAGCCACAGCACTTGTACTAGAAACTGGGGCAATTTCTGGACTATTAGAAAAATAGTTTTTTCAAAAGGTTCTTGTCTTAGTAAGGAGTTAACAAATATACACCATTTAAAAATTCTGCTTTTCTTGCAAAATTATTCGTTCAGTACTGCAAAATACTATGTGCCAGTTTTTCTATAAAGTGTAGCTTAAGAAAGTGAAAACAGTTCTTGTAATAGAATTGTTATCATTGTTAAATCTGTTTGTAAGGAAATGTGACGGAACAAGTAATCTTAACAGTGGATTATCCTTTAATCTTGCAGGCATTTTCTTACACATTTTTTAGATGCTTGTGGATTAGTGAAGTGCTGACCCAGCTGTAGCATTACTGTTAACATGTCACTAACACAGCAGTGCAAGTTTTATTTTAAATTATATAACCTGAGCATCACAGTTACTAGCTGTTCTTACTATTGCAAACAGAAGTATGGAATTTGACCAGTATCCGTAGCACTACTGTTATTGTCCTAAGATTGTGCTTCATTGAACATCTGGGAAGGGTTGTCAGATGTAAGGAGGGGGAAATGTAGATTCCTTGTATTTAAGTGCCTCCTGTAGTGATTCGTATTGAATGGTATTTGTTGTCTGAAATTTGCTAAGTGCTTACAGTGCCATATTAAGTGTTTCCTAACACTTAATGTTTCTTAAGTATCTAGAATACAGTGTTACCTTTGTAAGCCTTAATACAGTCAAGGTTCAGTGCCCAGTGTTACCCGATGTCACTTTGGACACAGAAGCCTTAGAAGTATAAAGCAGTTGATAAAACTCTCCAAACTTCTTGTATGGACTGATAACCATCTTTTGCTTAAACTGTCTTCTCTGGAGCCCTTCCTAATCAAAGGAAGATGTGACGTATTAAGTTCTTGTGTAAATTCACAACATAGCCATTTCTTGCGGTAGTCAGCATACGCTCACGTAGCGGATGTATTACAGGTATGTATTTTTGGCTGAGGTGAAAAAATAACTGGACTGTCTTCTTTGTTTGCAGCTGGTACTCCTGGTTGATTAACAGTTTTGTCAATGGTGAGTCTCTTTGTATGGGTTGTTTTTTTCTTTCTATTCATATTTCTTCAAATGGAGGCCGAGACTCAAAAGTAGAAAATCGACTGCTCTCAGCTGGATCAGTGTAATACAGAGCAATAACTTGACTGTAGCTTCCAAAATTGTCACCATGATTGGGAAAAGGAGAAGAATCAACTCAAAGTGAAACAAAAGGATTACATGTATCTTCTCTTTGTAGGAAAATGAGTGCAAATCTCTAATTGTAAAAATATAGTTGTGTGGTGTACTTGTTTTGTGCATTTGTCTTTGAGTTTTCCATCTTTTCTCTTCAGGAGTGTATGCTTTTGGATTCCTGTTTATGCTGCCCCAGCTGTTTGTCAACTACAAGGTAAGATTGAAAAGTGATAAAAGACTACTTTTTCAGTATCTTCTTCTAGAATTTATTACAAAATTTATATTTTTAATCCTAGATGAAATCTGTGGCACACTTACCGTGGAAGGCTTTCACATACAAAGTAAGTAAAGCTGTAATTTAAGGATTGATGCAGTCATTTTGGAAATAATGAAACATCTTAGTATTATGTAGCATAAGGCTGATAGTGCTTTGTTTGTTTGTTCTAAGAGTTAAACTGACAGGAAAACCAAATTTGTTTGCAAATGTTAAAAAAAAAAGGAAACACTGATTTCCATTTTTCATAATGAGTTCCATATACTAAGAATACCTGCATCATAGTTTTGATGATAATATTGTTTTTCCTACTGTCAGCCATCTTACATGGGTGCAGTATTGGTCCTGCAAATAAACTAACCAGTCTCAATTTAATACATTATTTTAGGAAGAGAAAGATTGTATTAACAAAGGATTGTTCTCAAGAAATGGATAGGACCACTAAGAGACCTTATTTTGGCAGGTTCCAGGAGCTACCAGAGACTGAAGTAATGTACACACTGTGCTGTGCTGGGGTGGTAATTCAGAGCTTCTGGGCAGTGTAGTGACAAATGTGTGGTGGGTTGTTACACGGTGGAAAAGGGGCACTGTGGTTTTCCTGCTGCCTGACTGCCCTTGTGGGAAATAATATGATGCTGTAGCAAAGCTTAATGCCAGACCTTGGAGGAGGAGAAGGTGAGTTTTTTTCAAAACAGAGTCAGCTTACTAACGCTTTGATATCTGCTTGCCCACAAGCACCCACATGTGTGTCTGAGTGGTCTGTGTAGTATTCACACACCAGATGGGTACACCTGAGCGTCCCAGACAGGATTCCTTGTGCTGATGTGGAGGACAAGGGACACTCCCTGTTAAGTCTCCTACATCCTTCCTCAGTGAACAGCTACATGCTAGTTCTGTTCTTGTACACCTAAAGAGCTGATAGTATTTTGACTCCATCCTTTCCCACCTCTGTGAGTCCTTAGGATTTTTTAACTGTGATTTGTTTTCCTGATCATTGTGTCCACAAACACCCTAAGTGGATGTGCTGGGATCATCAAGACCTTGATGCCATCAACATGTACCATGTTTTCTTCTGCTTCTGCTCATAAAAGCTTCCATTTATTCTTCCTTTGTGCCAGCGTATTAGAGTTCTCTAGAACATCAGTACTTTAAAAGAAACAGTGCTAAAAACTGCTTAAGACATGGTGTCCAATTCTGAAGAGAAGATATGAGACAAAAGAACTAAAAATCTTAAAAGTTGAAGTGCTTTTCATACCTCTTCCATTTCTGTGAGCCTACAGGAATAGCCCAACTTTCTGCTGCCTTCATATTTCTAAGGAATTATGGAGCATCTAGGAAAAAAGATTAAAATATAGCTGATAGAAGAATAGCAACTAAACAGTGTTTGATATGGAAATATAGTAAAAGAATAAAAATAAACTTCTAGTGTTTCAGACATATCCTAGGCAGATCAGCATGTTTCTTAATAGAGCAGAGTAAAAGGTATATTAGTGAAGTAATTTCACAATTTTACTTCAACAACAAAATAAAATAGCAGAGCAGAGACATTAGCAGTTAAATAGACAACAAGGGGACAGTATTCAAGCAAGTAACCTTTAAAGCAGCAGAATTCTCTTGCTGAATAGCCTTTTCTTACAGCGTTTATGATTCCTGTTAAAATGCCAGAGGCTGCCCACAACAAAGGCTTGTTTGTATGTAGGAAGAAGTATATGATGTTTTCAATTATGTTTAACTTAGTGGTCTTTGGAGGGGGTAATTTACTTTTTCCTAGTGGATATTTAAAGTTGCTTGCTCTCTTCTGCCCTTTGAAGACTGGAAATGGTCTGAGGTCTCATCTGTGATTGTTGTTTTAAAGAGCTTTGGGGTTTTTTTCCTTAATTTGAACTCTTTCCTTTTTTGGAAGACCTTGGCAAAAATGAAGATGAGTCTAACTTTCCAGTTTCTGTAGTCTTTATGTTTATGCTCTTTATACTTTTATAAGGAGTACCTTCAAATGAGGTAATCTCAAAAGAAAACTAGCTAGGCTAAATCCTGTTAGATGGGCTGTCTTGATGCACTCCATTTCAGTGGCTCATGAGGACTGCCTAAGTGCCTGAAGGATGGAGCATTTAGCTTTTTCTTCCTCTCATAATTGTAGGATCACTCACATGGGTGTTGACTTGGAAAGGCTGCCTTTTCCAATTTGCCAAGGGTTTTTTTGTTCCATGACAAACCTTCTTTGCACAGGCTTGAGAAGTGCTGTGCATATTCTTTGGTTGCTTTGGACTGATGGATTTGTTTTGACTTGCCAGAGAGCTTTCCCGTTGTAACTAATCGGAACTCTCTCCTGTCCGACGCCCTCATCTTCTGCTGATGCTTTGTTTCATCATACAAACATTGGTTCATTTTGAAGAGTGGGTTGTTCTCTGCTTAGGGAATACATAATTTTCCCCTTTCTTATGGTATGGATTAATGTACAGCTCGCTAATATGGAAAGGAGAAGTTATGTTACTGACTCAGTTTGTTAACCCAGCAGTGATGCTGGATTTGTTTCCTGCTTTTTTTAGTGAGTTGAAACAGTTCTTGCCCCATCCGATGAGTACTAGAGCTGCTGCACTGTAAGAGTTGATTTGTAGTCCTCCTTGTAGCCTAGAGTGAGATCCAGAGGAGTTGCCCTTCTGCTTACTTTCTTTACCTTCTCTGACAAAATATTGTTGCCTTTGCATGCCTGGAGCCTGTTTGTGCTGCTTTCCCAGCAGATGTCTGGGAATTTAAGCTTTCACACTCAGGAAAAAGTAGTGAGAAAATATTTCATTACTGCTTCAGAAACAGCACCTAATAGTGTGCCTAGTTGAGAGGAAATGGTGTAGAAAATTGTCTTGGGTAAGGGATGGATGATTACTTCCAGAAGAGCGCTGAAAGTATTTTAAAATCTCTCCAAGGCTGACAAGTTAAATGTTTTTAAGAGCAGTAAATTAACATGTTTTTACACAAATTTCAAATTCACACAGAAAATTAAAGTGAACTGACATTTTGTAAATCTTAAATAATTTGAGTAATGAATGAATAATTTTTTTTTTTTTTGCCAGTTTCTTTTAAAGATTTCACTCAAGTTAAATCCATGGTTTTCCCCTCGTGTGACAATACTCTCACCTGAAGTAGTCCTACTTTCTTTTTACTTGTAACTATAATTGTGTGGTCTGGAGTAGACAGTATGGTCTTTATTAAAAGAAAGCACTTTAAAGTTTGAAGTAATTAGTTTTTCAGCATAACCATTTAGTATTGTTACAAATATGAAAGTAGTCTGTGTTCCTACTGAAAAATACAGTTCTAGGAAACCCGTTTCCTGTAGCTTTGTATGACAGATGACTTCCTTTCTTCACAGCCAACTGAAGTATACTTTTCTTTTATTTGTAGGCGTTCAACACCTTTATTGATGATATATTTGCTTTTATCATCACTATGCCAACATCTCATCGGCTGGCATGCTTTCGAGATGATGTCGTGTTCCTGGTTTATCTTTACCAAAGATGGTATGCCTTTCTTTAATATTCACTGGGATTTTTACAACACTGTAGATGGTTGCAGTCTTATTGCCATAAAGATGTAGGAAATAGTTTGGGTTAAATTTCAAGCAGAATTTTTATACTATAGTAATACATAGTATGGTCTGGATAATGGTAGTTGTATATATGCCTAGGAAAGGGAACATTGGTCAGGAGATCTCAGTACAAATTAAGAGGAGCAAAAGCACTTTCCCATAACTGACAGTATTCTGGGACCCTTTTTAGCATGCCAAGAAAGTAGTCAAGAAATTCCTCTTCTCACAACAGTCACTGAGTTTTTATCAATTACCCCTTCTCCCTCCCCAAAACAGCAATCCTCCTTTCCAGGAGATAGCTTCACATTTGCAAGTTACTAAAAAAATTAACCTGAAACTCGAATACCTGAAATAAGGTGAAGGAGAGCAATTCTTAAGCTTGTATTCACAAAATCTTAGAGAGTTCTGGGCTTCTGACCCTTGCTGAGGGGCTACGTACCTCCATATGCTCAGTATCTGAGGCATGCTTTCCAAATTGCTCTGCAAGGCACTAGCAGAGGATGTTTTCTGATGAGGGATTGCCCTGCTCTGCTTTCCTCCTTATCTAGTTTCCAGACACAAGTTATCTGGTTTTCATGTAAGTTGAGTATCTGGCAAGTTTCAGATTCTTTAAGTAACTAAAATCAGATGAGGTAGAAGGCTATATGCAGTAATCACTGAAATATTTCAGAAATGAAGATACAGAAAGTATATTCTTGTTCCCAAGAATAAATATTTATCTGTGGAGCAAACAAGAGTCTTAAGCCTAGTTCACATTATACCAGATGATATGGATGTGTACATCTAATCATTAATACTAAATGTGAACTTCAGTTCTAGGTTTATATAATTGCACATAATTGTAGTAAAATATATCCCCTTCCAAGGTATTTTTCTAGAAAATAAGAGCTCAACAACTTCTGTTAGGGGCTGGACACTGGTTTCAAGTTTGAAAGGTACCATGGATTGCTTGAGAAATAGGCCAGCCAAGCTTTAGGGGAGCTAATATGTCTCTTAAGAGGCCCTGTTATGAGACAACTGGTTAGTTCTTAATATGAAGCTGATTTATCTGTAGCTAATCTTTAAAACTGTTGTGGTTTTTTGCCACAAATGGGAATGGACAATATGATGAGAAAGAAATTAGCTTCTAAAATCAAGTAGCACAGGACTGCTTAATTCCTCCAGGTTAGCAGACAATATTGTAACTAATAATTTGTTTTTTCTGACAGGCTTTATCCTGTGGATAAGAGTAGAGTGAATGAGTATGGAGAATCTTATGAAGAAAAGCCAAAAAAAAAAGCTCATAGAGAATAACTAAGAATTGAAGAAGATTCTGACCCTTGGACTCTTACTGGTTTCATGTATTACCTGGTCTTAAGGAAGAAAAAACTTATTTAATAAGAGTATTTTTAAAGCTTATGACAGAACTACATGGACAATACATCTTCTATATTGCCAAAATCTAGTTTTGATATACTCCTATTTCAAGATTCTCTTTTGTCCTCACAAGGTCCACAGCCTGACAGATGTCATTAAATAAACTTCCTGAGTTTAAATTTCTCTTTGGTGAAAACCCAAGTGTCCTAGCCATCATAATTAATATCCAAATCTACGTTTTTAAAGCAACTCAGTAACTGGAAGTGTGGTGCCCATGCCACTAGGCTATGAAAAGTGAAAAAACAAGCAAGTGTGTTACAGCAGAATCGAGCATTATTGACAAACTGGAGGCTGTCAAAAATAAAAGATGCAATATTGGATTATATGCTAATTACAAATCGTTCTCATTTGATAATGGAGATAATGGAAATTCTATAAATCATTATTAAAGTTGTAAGTTCTATGTGGGCATTTAAGCTCCTAGCTTAAAAAAATTTGTTGGAAATAAGGGATTAGAGAGATCAGGTAGTTAAAATTCAGATTCTGCCATGTTCTTAGCCCACAGCATGGCAGAGGGTTTCAGTTGTCTGTCTTTCAATTTGTATCCAAGTTTACATAAATCTTCCTGCATTGTTGACAGAAGTTCTGATTTCTTGGCATAGCAGGTATTCATATAATGCAAATCATTGTTAAGTGCTAGGAAGGTCTCTTAACACATCTTAAATTCATCATGTGGTACCCCAGTGACCTACTAGGGCAATTCTCTCATGTTTCAAAGGGAATAATTTCTTGGTATTTCCCCTCTCCTTCCCTACCTCCTTCTATTTATAAGATGAAACACACATCATTCAAGTGGAATGATTTTGCTCAAATACAATACAGGTTCAACAAAATACCTGGATACGGAATAAAAAACAACCAACTTAGTGAAGAACAGGTATCTTCCTGTCCCACAATTTAAAATCCATATTCCATGGAAACAGTTCATTAAGGGGGCAGGTTATTTTGATCTGTTTCTTTCAAATTAGTAAAAATAATCAGGTTGAATTATTATACCAAAATTCAAACTTCACAGCTATATCTAGAAACCATGGTTCTAGATTTATAAAAGCAAGTTTTTTAGTAACAGTAAGTGAAATACAGAGTGCATTCCTTTCAGCAGCAAGTAAAATGCAATTAAAAAAATCCAAAAGGCAAAATTCTAGTTTCCAATTCTAGTTTTGCTTTGGTCAGAAAGTTTACAAATTAACTCTCACGATTCTTAGGTTTCTCTATTAAATTGCATGCTGTTTGTACAAGGCTATTTAACTTCAATTTGTCATTGATTGAAAATTTTAACTGAATAACCCAAATCTATTCCAGTAGTGTGTAACTACTTTATTAAGTGGATTTTATCCAGTTCTGATACTGCAGAGGTCTGAACATATAAATACTTGGTCCCAGAAAGATACAGATATGTGCCTAACTTCTTTTTTCACAATCTATAGTCTTTCATATACTGAAGTCCTCCTTACCTGCTACTGGCAATGGAATGGAGTCCTGAAGTGAATATTTAACTCATGTTCATGTCAAGGTCTCTTTACACTCTTAACTGGAACTAAGGAGGACTGTTGATTTTAGCATTAAACATACATAAATAAGTCTATGCAAAACCAGGGTTGCATTTGCTATATCTTGTACCGGTTTTGGATTTGTTTGGAAGGAGCTCTTTGCTGTTAGGCAAACTAATTTGGGACTTCTGTTTCATAATGATAGTTAAATGCAAGTGTGTGAACATTTTTCCTGATATAAAAAATGCATATAGCACATTCCCTTTTTGTCCCATTTCAAAACAATCAAGTTATTGGTTCTTCTAGAATAGCTTCTGAAAGTCCAGAATACCATATTCGGGTATTTCTAATGTTTCATCACTCATTTTTGTATGTAGCTGTTGAAAAATCACTTTTGCACCTTTACATACTGTGAGTTTATTGGTCTTGCATTTGTCATGACGATGACCTCATAATATCATATGCATTAGTCATAAAGAATATAAAATTAGTACATTTTAAGTCTTTAAAATGAACGAGACTTTCCTGTTCAAGTCATTGTTTTATGCATTCAATTTCCAAATAAGACTTTGAATATGGGATAGCGAGTTACCTTTTGTTGTTGGAAAGATGGTGAAAAACTATGTAAGCAGTGTATGTTTGGAGATATTAAATGAAATGTTTTAACTTTCTAGCTAAAATGTGGAAATCACATCAGCTTAAAACAAAAATGAGGTTCTATATGCAGTTAATGCAGAAGAAAAACTTCCTATATATAAAATTTCATTGAAGGTATTGCAGCTCGTGCCGATTATCAGTGTCTGTGATCTATCTGAGTTCAAGAGTAACTTCAAAGCTTCCTCACTTCTGCTAAGGTTAACTGTGGTAATCAACTTGGTGACCATCTCGCATTCTCATCTTCATGAGTTTTGTAATGGCTTTAGAAGTTAAAAGATTACAGTGATTTGGGGTTGGGAGTGGGGCTGTTTAGAGGCAAATCATCATATGCTTCTGGAAGATACTCTTGCACAGTACTTACTAGTGCAGAATAACATAGCAATTGTGATTCTCTAAGGACGTAAGTGAAGAAAGGCAGCTGACTTGACTCTCTGTGGGTGTACAGGACCTGTGGCTTGGTGCCTCTTGGCTGTGTTACAGAGACAGTGTTGTACTCCTGCTCAGTTCTTCCAGTTCCATACTGTGCTATTTCCTGCTCATCTTCGCCTGCTGCTGACTGTGTTCTGCAAGAGGTGACCTTCTGCCCTGTGTGGCTTTTTTCCCTGGAGCCACAGGGCTAACTGAGTTACAAAATGGGCAGCAGCACAGACAGTTTTTCTCTTACCAGAAGAGCTCGAGACGTGTGCACTGCTCCTGTCACTAGAGCAGGTGCTGTGTACATCGCTGATATGCTGACTCAGCCCCAGTGTATGTTCCCTTTTGATAGGGCATTACACTCCAGTAACTGTCAGCTACATCTACAGCTCAGCACCAGAGGCATTGAGACAGATAATTCTGTAATTTGTCTGCTTTTAAACAACACATTTTCCAGTTTTTCCATCAGAAGACAAAGTGAAACATGATCATTTGCTAGCAATGCTGGTCCTCTTTACAACTTAGGGCTTTTCAAAATCATAAGATCTAAAATAATGCAGGTGGGAAGGGACCCCAGGAGGATATCCAGTATCAGCACAGCACCTTCCCCGCCCTGGCCCCGTACAGAGTAGTCAGGCTTTCATGATATGCCTGTGTAAAACCATCTGAGTGAAAAGATCCAGCTGTAGGGGTTGAGAAATAAAGCTAGAAAGAGCCCAAATTTGCCCACTGCTTCCCCTCTTGCATTAGGAGCGGTTTGGTTCTGTATCTGCAAGGATCTGTCCACTTTTCCAGTGATTATAGACACATTTAAGAATTTCTTCTTAGTACAGAGGGGGAACTGTGATGTCTCCCATGTTTTCATCCATCGGCATTGACTACCACTGCGCCTCTTTAAGGATATGTGGAGATAATCAGTTTACTCCAGTTTTCCCTTTATGCAATTCTCCTATTTCTTACTGCTTATTTTACTACTGGGTCCTCAAAAATCCTGGGGTTTTTTTATTTTTTTATGTTAACCTCTTCCTTGATGAGTATACCTGCATGAAAAGGAACAAAATACTGTAGATTCAAGAGACAAACACTTTAACACTGGGGAGTTCTGGCCCACATCGTCTGCCTATATTTGCTTAAAAGAATAGGACAGCTTCTCCCCTTCTCCCCTCAGCTTTCTGTTTTGCAGTACTCTCTCCTTTTAGTCCTTGCCATATGGTACCCACAAAACAGAGAAACAAACGCCACCTCCAGTTACCAGGATCACTGTAAAGACAACCAAGGTTGAAGATACAGCCCAGCAGAGAAGAGATCAAGTCACTGTCATGGAAGGCTTCATTCCACAGCAGATGAAAGCAGTGACAGGTATGGGTGCCCTAAAAAGGGATTACACTGAGTAGCTGGTTAACTGGAGGGTTAATCTCCTTGATCAACAGCATATAACTGTATGTGTCAAGCTCAAGCAGCAGCCTCGGGGTGAGACTGGGACCAAGATCAGCACCATTGGCTGTAGATCCGCTAGTCAGCGATGACTCAGAGTGATGGATGTGAGGAATCATTAAGGGGTCTCTGACACACTGTACTGGGTCTGGCTGAGACAGTTACAGCCTCGGGGTGAGACTGGGACCAAGATCAGCCCCATTGTCTGTAGATCCGCTAGTCAGCGATGACTCAGACTGATGGATGTGAGGAATCATTAAGGGGTCTCACTCTGACACACTGTACTGGGTCTGGCTGAGACAGTTACCTTTCTTCATGGCAGCCTGTATGGTGCTGTGCTTTGGATCTGTGACTAACGGTGTGACAACACAACCAACATTTTGGCTATTGCTGAGCAGTGCTTGCACAGCATCAAGACTTCTTTTCTCCCACTCTGCCCCCACAATGAGCACACTGGGTTGGGCAAGAAGCTGGAAGGGGTCACAGCCAGGACAGCTGACCCAGACTGACCAAAGGGACATCCCATACCATATAACCTCATCCTCAGCAAATGGAATGCTGACCACTCCAATAAGCCATAGTTATCAATGTGTCCACTAAATTATTTCTCTATTACAGTTAAGTCAGCTTCTGCAGCAGAGCCCTCAGACTGACTGCTAGGTAGTCCCCATGATCTCCTTTGGGATCCTTGATGTCATGTTACGTATTTTCATGACTTGTGATATTAAAACATTCTGGCATGATATAAGTAGTTGTTCAGTCACCGAGTTCCTTTAAACTCACTGGTAAATACCATCTGATCATGGAGACTCACTGATTTTTGAACTGTTTTTTCCTCTCTGCAGAACAACATAATTTGTAGTACTGGAGCTTGAGACAGATCACGGTGTGTGCAAAGATTTGACACAGGACCCCATTTAAGGTCCTTATGCAGTTTCCTCAGTATTGCCACGATTGCCCGAAGTATTCCTTCTCCACTTACACATTACAGTCTTCCTGGCAAGCTGTCCCACTTCTGATGTTTGATGTTTTTTTCAGCTTTGGAAAGTTATTAATCAAGCTATTCCGATTTTGTTTTATTAGTTTTTTACTTTTCAGTTTGAACACAGCTTCAGGTTTTGGAAAGACACCTTTCTTCTTCTTGTGACACTTCTCATACTAGTTTCCTTTCAGCCTTTTCAAAGGGAGCTTTAAAAAGAGAGACACATTTGCAGTAAGTGTGCGTCTTTAAATAGCCATTACTGAAGCTAGACCTAAACATAACATCTTATTTCCTTTAACTTCACTGTTGGATTATAAAAATGGCATTTTATTTTTATCACTGC